TATTTTTTATATCCGATATTTGGACATAAATCTATATTTCTTTCCTTTCTCTTTCTCTTTCTTTCCAATCTTTTTCTCTTATGTTTGGTTCTTATTTTCGGTACTCTTTTTCTCCAATCTGACAAAGGCCTTTTATAAGTACAAATTTGCAAGGGATAGAGCAATTTGGCCAATTGAATATCATTTACAAGCATCTGATTGCCAAGCTGTGGATTCCTCCACATGATTACAACTAACATAATCAGTGGCCAATTGAATATCATTTACAAGATCTGATTGCCAAGCTGTGGATTCCTTCACATGATTACAACTAACATACTCAATAATTAGTGCATTATACACTTAATTATAGATATAATATAATTAAATGATGGGCTCATTTTACACTCATATTGTTTTCTAACAATCTCTTACATGAGTGTAAATTAAATATACTATGTGCTCAATCTTCACAAAACTCTATTGCATCAAAGAAGGTAGCTTTTGGCTTTGAACCTTTCTTAGTAAACATCATCGGATGCACTGGCGGTCTAGTGGACATAATGCCTTGAACTATTCCTCCATAATGTACACCAAGACAATGACATTCACACAATAGAGTTTTAACTCTATTCTGTTCTATCGTTGTGTCCGTTTTGGCCATGGACAACACAATGGATTCATAAGTGTTTACATTTGAAGCGGCCCACACTTCACACTTATATAAGTGACCTCCCTATCAAGAGTATCCTGTCTTACTCCACGTTTACAAGGTTAGGGATTCATTAAAAGTCCAAATGACTTACCCTTACCACAATCAACAGGTACTCTTGCACTTGGTGTGCTCTAGGGAATAGCTTTGGACATTCATATGTTCCAAGTGCTCGACTAAATTTTCATAGCTTAGTTTTCCCTTTGAACCAAGTTTGTGGGATCTCCACTCAGCATGGTAGGGTTACCACTATGATCATTCTTTACATTGTGCATTTTTAAGCCCATTCCCTCTAGCAAAACTGTCAATTGATCTCTATTCAATCATTTCGTCAAAGGATCAACCAAATTTTCCTTAGACTTCACATAGTCAATTGAAATAATACCATTTGTAATCAACTGACGTACGGTATTATGTCTACGACGAATATGTCTAGACTTATCGTTATACAAGTTGCTTTGCGCCCTACCAATAGCAGCTTGGCTATCACAGTGAATCA